TGTTTAACTTGGAGAATTCAAGAAAAAGACTCTGGTCTTCTTGCCTTCTGTGTAGTGAGAAAAATCCCTGATATTTCATTATCAGGAATGCCTAAATACAACCAACTTGCCTGGCTCTACACAATAGATTTTCCTTTGATTAGAAAAATCCTCAAAATACAAATTTCACAAATGTTAGAAATATTTGTCACTTAGAAATTTTAAATAACATGATTTTAAAGTATACATGTTTATGACTAATATTTGAATTGGGAAAAATCCTAGGATTTATTCAATGAAAATTTGAGCATCTAATGTAGCCTGGTCAAGGCAACCTTTGCCTGAAGTTAGAAAATAGACCAGGTTTTTTGGCTCCTAAATCTAGAGGCCATTAGAGTTGATCTAGTTTAGTATTCTCCATACTTTTTAGTGTCAAATCTAATTCCAAATAAATTCTTAAATAGAACATCAATAGGGTTAAAGATCAAAACTCCCTGGGGATTTATTCATTATTGTTTGGTCTAAAGTACTTCATTTTTGGCAGAATCACTGAAGCAGTTTCATAAATCCTGGTACACTTTGAAAACCTTGGATCACATCCAATGTTCCTCCCTATCCCCACCCCATCCCCTTACAGGTTGGAAACCTGAGATCCAGAAAAGTTAGAAGACTCCTTAGTTTTACTGCCTGAGCAAAAGTAAAACCAGTAACTTTTAATTTGCAATTAAACTCAACCTTTTCCATTATTACTTTTCCTTTACCAGTTCTACCCAATATATAGTTTGTTTTTACCCAACATACATATTCTCAGTCTTGTGTTAACTAATCTGTAGGTAGTCAAGGTTTCTGTGGTATGTACGTATGTATTCATTGGTGTGTGTGTGTATTTATTTTTATAATACCTTGAAGATTCCCAAATGCTTTCATGGCTCTCTTTAACTGTATAGTTCTGTTGGGAATATATTTGCCTTATTGTTCCTTTAGCAAACTTCTTATAATTCATCTTTAAACCACTCTATTGATATGTAACTTACATACCATAACATTCAACCAAGTGTACATTCAATGATTTTAGTGAACTTACCAAACGATGCAACAAGTAGTTTTAGAAAATTTTTATCACTTCAATCAGATTCCATATGTGCATTTATAAGTGATATCTATTCTCAACACCAGTCCCAGCCAACCACTAACTACTTTCTGTCTTTACAGATTTGCTTTTTCCGGACATTTCATATAAACAAAATCCTACAATATATGGTCTTCAGTACCAAGCTTCTTTCACTTCAGATACATATAATTAGTATCTATGCCAGGACTACTAATTCTTCACAAGACAAAAGGAAAGACTTCAGAGTCTGGAGGTAAATTAAGCCTAATCACTCTTTTCTACATGATCAGTTCACTACGTAAAATCCAAACGCCTGATGCTGCATTAGAGAGCCTAGTAATCCAACCGGATCTACCGATCTGACCTCAGATCACTTTTCTCCTGCCTGCTACTCTCCAATAAGCCCTTCTTTGGTTCCTTCAATGATCTAAGGTCATTGCCACTGTAGAGTCTTTGCACAAAGACTCTGACAGGAATATGCTTATTCTTTCTTGATTCATATCTAATCTTAAGTAATACCATCTTAGAGAGGCCTCCTTTGACCACCCAACTACAACAGAGACCCAGCCAAATCTCTAACATGTATCAGTCTACTTGAATTTCTTATACTTCCCACTACCTGACATTTATTTTCTTGTTGTTATTGCCTCTCCTTCCTACTAGAATGTAAGTTCTTTGAAAGCAGAGACCCTGTTAGGCAGGTTTATCAGCATATCAAAGGCACTCAATAGGCAAACAATAAAAAGGCAGAAAATATTTGTTGAATAAACGGATCATTAAACCTCTTAATGATGTTTAACTTGGTAGCCTTTACTATGCATTCTATTTAAGAAGAAAAATTTTCATAGGAATATGGTGTTTGCAATAAAAAAAAACTGTATTTTATGGCATGCCTGTAATAGAATGTGTATCAACTGGTTTTGTGTGTTTTGAAGTGTTAGTCTACGCACCTACTTACCTTCATTAATAGTGATAACCAAGAATCTAGTTAATAAACTACAAAGATAATGAAAAATACTCAACTGTGGATTCTGAGCTCTTTATGCTGCTTTAGAAAACAATGATAAGATAGTTCAAAAGGGGCTAACAAACTGATAGGCTTAAAAAAAAAAATCTGTGCCCATTTCCAGATTAGGAATTTCATATTGCTACTCTTTAACTTAAGGTAAAAATGTTGCAAAACATATACTGTTCAGGTCTGTCACGTTACCCAAAACAGTACTTCTGTTCAAATAACTTGATGGCTGTTTTTGAACTCATGGGAAAGCTTTCACAGAGATGACAGAATCTCTTTCGAAAGTAGTGCCCACTTCCCTTTTAAAAAATTGAGAAAGAGAGCATGGCAAGGTAACCTGTTAACATTCTACATTTAGCAAACATATTTCTGGGAACTGAAATCTACTTTTCCAATTATATGCTTAAAAAAAAAAAAAAAGACAGCACAGTTCATTAACTTTCTAAGAAAGTTTTTATCCATCTAGGTTGGTGATTCTCAAATGTACTAGCTGCTTCAGCATCACCTGAGACTTTGCTAGAAATGCAAACTCTTAGACCCCCATCCGCACCCGACACTATATCTGAAATTCTCAGGGGAAGGCCAGCAATCTCTTTTATAAGCCCTCTAGGTAATTCTCATGAATACTAAAGTACTACTCATGTAGGTTACTGTTTTTTCCATAAATGCTAACCAAAATACTTAGGAGAAAAAGAGCAGCTATTATAAGGAAGGGGACTTTGAAAACTTTATGTATTATGCAGGATATCCATACATTTGTTTAAAAAGGTAAAGGTGGCATAAATATGACTGTATTTTTAATGCCTTTTACCTTAGAACTCTGTATAAAAGTTATCAATAATTTCCTTTTCCTCCTGGAATATAAATAACTTGGGTGGTACAAAAAGTATACTTTCAGAGAGATTTCATCAAATACCTAAGATAGAACCTAAAAAGGCACTTCCTGTTTTTCATACTAGTAAGTCATTTTCATACCCAGATTAGAGAATAGAACCAAGATGAGGAAACAATCCTTTGTAGCTGCCCAGAAAAAATCCTATGTAAAAATGAGAGAGAGCTAAATTGTTAAAAATAAACTATGTAACGTGGATATGATCTTAAGGGCTTATATGAAGACTGTCAATTCTCGTAGTAAATTTCCTCTCAAATACCTTCACCTATTTCAAACATGAGAACAGTAACACTATACCTCTCTATCAGTCCAGAAGATCAGATGGAGGACAGGGTCACCCCAATTTTGTTCTTGCCAGTCTGAGTAATAGCTATGCATGTGATAAAGAAAAATATCTTTTAAAAAGTTTAATGCTTAGAAATAAGCAAAAATCTTTAAATGATAAGTTATGATAATTTAGACCAAAATATGATGGAAAGGGGATAGGTAACTTTCCTCACCAGGAATCAAAATAATACCAATATGAAAAATATATACATACTCCATTAGCTTAAGGTTTATTACACATCTTTGTCTATCACATGATTAATTTATCTCTCTCTTTTTTTCCTTTCTCCTGGCAACCATCGGTTCCTAAAAATACACTGTCTACAAGAAAGAATGCTGGACAATGAATCAAGAAACTCCATTCACTTACTCCAACACAGGAATGCTAAGGAGGGTTTTTTAAAGTGTAAAAAAGAAGGGCGCCTGGGTGGCTCAGTCAGTTAATCGTCAGACTCTTGATCTCAGCTCAGTTCGTGATCTCATGGTTCATGAGACAGAGCCCTGCCTCCTTGAAATTCCCTCTCCCCTTCTCTTGGCCATGCCCTTGCACTGAGATGAGCACTCTCTCTCTCTTTCAAAATTAATAAACTTTTTTTTTTAATGCAAAAAGGCCTTGAATTGGCAAAGTTTTTTAAAGTAAGCATTTAATTAGAAGACAAAAGAGAGCAAAATTCTTTGCCAATTTAAACATAATAACTAAGAGCAAGTAATGAGTACTAAAAGGTGAATCATTTATACCTTTTCTCTGATTCTTCAGAACCAAAGGCAGTATTTCTGAGGTGACTGGCTAGCATGTCAATTAAACTGAGATATTCTTCCGAGGTAATGCAGAAAATAAAGACACCTCTAAAGCTACAGACACAAACTGGTGTCCAATGCAAATGTATCTTTTTGTTGTAAGTATCTATTTTAAATTATGCTTTCCAGGAAGACACAGTGGGGATAGCTCTTTCATAGATTCTAAGATGTACTTTTTTTCTATGAAAATATATCGGAAATAGGAATATGACCTAACAAAGAATTAAGTCTTAAAACCACTGTTGGCCATGAGCAGTCACAGTTGCCATAGGTCATTTATGTGTGAACATCAGAACACAAATATCAAATTTCAGCAGCTTGGAAGAAAACCCCAGAAATAGTTATGGAGCATTCTTTTAACCCCTCAGAACTAAGACTGTTGGGTTAAAAATAACCAACTTTACACTGTGATAATTACAAAGGTGGCTTAAAAGCTTAATATGACTAGCTTTTGGCTCTTTTACAGATTCTTTTAAGAAATGCTGTAACAATGCTCATAATGGGACAGAAAAGAATACCATATGGGAAAACATGCATCAGCAATGCACAGTAAGTTATCTGGAAGAATGTGAAAGGCTTTAGGAATACATCACCAATTTAATTAAGATTAAATTTCCCTGGTTTTGTATGCAAAAGTTGGATATAAGATTAAAGCCTTTCTGTAACTAATTTCAATGGTTCATTCAAAGGAGGGAAAAAAGATCTAAGATTTAGGGAAACAGTATAAAATAATATTTAAAAATTTAGTACATGCTAATGTATTACATAAAATAGTATCTTAAAATTAATGAAATATAACAAAATCTACCTGCAATTCGCAGTATTCTAAAACGCTTTTGCTAACTACCATTAAAGAAAAAACACCTTTGCAGCATTACCTGTAAACCACAGCAGCCTACAGCATTCATTATGGAAGCGTTGTGAATAACTTGATACGAGATTCCCAGCTTCGTTGCTCTCAGAATAAGATCGCTGTGTGTGGTAGCCCTGTAGTGAGAAAAGATCAGGTTGGATTAAAGTAACACTGACTTTTTAAGATAGTAAAGGTATAATATTTCATGAGCTCAAGTCAATCAAAGGGTTATGGGGGCTGCTCTTTCTCAATTTGGGGGCTTTCTGATGAGAAAAGTGTTAAGTCTACACATGCCCTTCACGGGGCTAAATTGCACTTGTTACCCTTCTAGAGCAGCCTTGGTAGCTACAGAGAGACAGGGAAGTTTTACTTACTCTTAGGTCCCTTTAATACCTGCAAACACATGTGTGGAATGGAAGTTCAGCAAGTGAACTCCTGAGCAGCAATTCTCAAACTTTTTGGTCTTGGGACACCTTTAAACTCTTAAAATGACTGCCCTGAGTTCTAAATGATAGCACAATTAGACCTACTCTATGATTTCTGCTCTATTTTGAAGGTTTCTGTTTTTGTATTTTGAAATACTACAGGGCAGATGATACAGAACATTTTTGTAGCCTGCCAATTTTTGCCTTTATATTAGGGTTCTATCTGACATAATCACAGTTGCATTTTCCATCTGTCTGGCAGTGATTTTATTTATAACTGTTTTCAGTCTGGTTACTGTATATAATTGTATGTGTGCATGTGTATGTGAGTGCATATTCTGCCTGTTGCCTTTCCTTTGTTGAGATAAATCTAAAGATTATGATAAGATAGACTTTGGTGGAGAGAGAATATATGTAAATATGTAAGTATGAATAATGTGAAATGTAACCCCACATCAATTTAGAACTGCATTATTAAAAGCCTTTTATTCCCTGGATGAAAACTCCAGGTCCTACTGGGGAAAGCAACATTAGCATGTTTGAGAAACTACATATAAACCAGCAGAAAGTGTCAACTGGTCAATGCATACCAAGTAGGAAGATCAAGGGCTTTCACCCAATGAGGCAGTCAGAAACAGATTAACAAATGCCCACCAGGCAAGCCTGTTTTTAATCACACATAAAATAAGAACTAGTATGAAAAACAATCATTAATTTGATTTGGAGCGAGCTTTTAAAAAATAACATAAATGACGGTTATAAAGAATGTTTTTAATATCTTCAACAGAATTTCACTACTTAATACTAAGATTAAGGAAAACTGAATTAGTTACTTGGTGAGTTATTTGAATAGATGAGCAGAAAGAAACCTGGTTTAAAATTGCACCTCCCTTTACCAACTTCATTTAAAACGACCAGATGTGGTTGGTATACTATGAAGATTTAATGACCTGACAAAGTGATTTGATTTTGTGAAGCTGCCATAAAAGGGATTAAATGAGTCCCTCAGATTTCTCCTATGAAAAATTGGTATTTTATCATCATGATTACCCAAATTATATTGCTTCATGCAAAAGAAAAAATTGGTTTGAAACACAGGATTAAACCATTATATTGGACATTCCTTCTAGTTCAGAAATCATGAAAATGCTTATTTTGGTGATTGGAAAAGTGTATATGTAGCGTGTGTGTGTGTGTGTGTAGACAAATTATTACTATTTTTGGGCACATGGCTCTATCCAAAATTTTATGTGTGTATATACACACTTATGTATATGTATATATGATTAATTTATCTTAATAATGTTCTTACTACTTGGAATTGCTCTGAAAGCAATTTCAAAAGAGATTCAAGAGTTCTGATCAATGGAATCAACAAAATAAAGAACATAAAAGTGACCAATTTGACTATAAGACTAGGTATGTTTATTTTAAATTTTATTTTGTAATAACATTAGTTTGCAGATGCAGTACCACCACATTTGACAGTGCTATGGCTTGCGATCTGAAAGTTCACTAACATTTGTAATGATATGGTGAAAGTGATGTTCTCATAAACTACTGGAAGCATTATAAATTGGTACAGTCCTTTTAAGGAATAATTTGACAATATAATGCTTGAAAATATTCATGTTCAAAACTGTTGATTTTTTTTTTTTTTTTTGGTATTATAAACTGATTCTGGAGAAAAAAAAAATCCAAAATGTAGGGATGAGAGAATGGAAGGAGGGGAAAAGGGTCATATACATTAATCGATACATGGCAGCTTTACTTACATTGGAGAAATAAATGGACTAATGATAATAATGTTGACATTTATTGGATAGTTACTAGATGCCAAGCACATTCCACTGCATGGAATGGAGAAAAAAAATCAAATGACCTACATTAAACCAAATGGAAGACAAGTCAATAAAGATATGTTTTTATGTATGTGTATGCCATGAAGGAAAAGGCACACAAAATAAAAATTAAAAAAATTATGTGTTCATTGCCTACAAAATATATACAGCTACAAAGCATACTAAAATAAAGAATGGAATAACAAAACGGAATCATCATTAAAATTTGTTTAATCATGACCTAAATTCTTTACAGGGATAGAAAGCTTAAGACCGTCATCTCTCATGTGACTGGGTCAGATCTATCGATGCACAATTTTTTTTTTGTAGTTACTTACATTCTTTATGTGATTAACTTCCACATTCCTATCAATAACCTGGGTAAAAGGGAAAAGACGAGAACTATATCAAATGACTTAACTGACTTTCAGTTACCTTCTTCCAGAATTTAAGAGTGGATGATGGTGATGGCTGCACAACAGTGTGAATGTACTTAATGTCACTGAACTGCACACTGAAAAATGGTTAAAGTGGTTAATATTGTTAAATAAACTTTACTACAATTAAAAAATTAGAATAAAGAATCTGAGATTAAGTACTTCTCAAAGTTTTTATTCAGATAAGTGGAAAGAGGCTTAAAAATAATTTTTGCTGTTGTACATAATTTCAGTGCTTTGTTGCATTCTGTATTCCCTTTCAAGTTTATTCATTTAACACACACAAATCCTAATTGTTCAAGGCCCAATTAAAATGTACACATCCCCACCATCCCATCTACAATTACCATATCTCAACAGTAATCCAGTGAGTAAATGAAAAATAACTATGGTACAGTAATTATTACACAAATCTGAAGATTATACATGATTAGTCAGTAACATAGAGCAAATTAACTGGCTAGATGTTAAAAAAAAAAAGCAAAAAAACCCCCCAAAAAACGGCCCTCATTCCTGAATAAAATAATGGAGGGTTCACAGAAGATAAGGCACCTGAGCTGGGTCTTAAAGAATTTTACTGCATAGAAACTGGGGATAACTACAGTTGACACCATGGTATAGTGAATCTGAAAGTTAAGAGAGTAGATCCTAAGATTTCTCATCACAGGGAAAAAAAATAGTTTTTTTTTTCATTCTCTTTTTTGGATGTTATCTAAACTTAATGAGGTAATCAATTCACAATATACATTAGTCAAGTCATTTCACTGTTTACCTTTGACTTACACAGTACTGTATGTCAATAAATTAGGAATAAAAGAAACTGGCAAGAAAAGTCTATTTTAAGGAAAAAGCATGAGCAGCAAAGATGTGGTAGATAAATATTGCAAAAACACTCATGAAATGGCAAAACTGTACAATCTGACTCTAGCACAGTAAAAAAAAAAAAAAAAAAGAATAACCAAAGGAGTAAGTAGATAGACTGTTAAAAGATTTAGGCCATGAAGTCAACTTGAGTGACCACTGAAGGTTTTGGAGCAGGGTAGGAATAGCATCGAGGCACTCTCTCATGGCATCAATTTTCCATTTATGTGGAATTCTCCCTTCTACCCCCTAAGCCCCACAGACTCCTCCACAATTTCCACCTATTGAATTCTACCTAGACCCAGCTCAAACACCAACTCCTCCATAAAACCACCACAGAAGAACTCCAAACACCGTGCCTTTTAATTTACACTTCTATCCTCACCCTCGCCCCAATCTTTCAGCAGTATATCAGTGTCAACCACCCTTTCCTCTCTACAGTATTCTCTTTTCTTGGCTTCGGTGACAACACGCTCTCTTGGTTTTCTTCCTCCTCTGGCTCTTGACAGACCACGAAGTGCAAGTTTCCTAAGGCTTGATCCTAGGTCTTCCTTTCTTCCCCTTGCTCTTTCCTAAAGTGATTTCATCCATTTCTCTAGCTTCAAACACCATTATCTCTCCCTCTCTCCCCACCCCATATATATTCATGAATTCAAAAGCCACTACCCAAGATAACCCCTTCTCTCTTGAGCTCCAGCAGCAGATATCAAATTGCCTATGTGACATCTCAAATTTAAAACATTTCCAGAACCAATTCTTGTTTTCCCCAATTATTTTCCCTACAAGTTTTCATCATTTCAAGAACTGGCACCATCAAGTACTCAGTCATTAAAGCCCAAATTCTGGAAAACTTGCTTCTTTCCTTTTCCTCACCTACTATATAATACTGGCATTCTTCCTTCTAAATTTTTCCCAATTTGCCTTTTTCTCTCTTCTACCAGAGGCATCCTGCCTCCCTAAATCCACTCATGCAAGCACTTAGAATAATCATTTAAGAAAGTCAATCAGACTGTGATTCTTCCCTGCTTAAAATCCACCAAAAGTTTGCCAGAGTACTTCAAATAAAACCCCTACCCCCTCCAAGGCCTTACAAGATCTGGGTCCCACCTACTTCTTTAACTCCTTCTCACTCCCTATCCCCCACCCATTCCAGCCACTTTGGCCTTCCAAGTCCTTGAATACGTTCTTGCTATTCCTCTGCTTACAATGCTCTTCCCTTCTGCTATTCCTATCATTTTTCAGATACCTGTTTAAATATTACCTCAACAAAAAGGATTTTCCATATACCTTGCACAAATTAGCCTATATCCTGTTAGTCCTTATTTTTAATTCCTTGATAGGCCTATCAAAATTTTAAAGGTTATTTTTTCTTTCATTGATGTCAGCCTCCCCTACTAAAGTGTAAAGCCCGTGTTTTACCATCTAACATATATGCAGTATGTAGGAGTGCCTGTCATGAGACAGGTGTTCCAAAGATAATTGTTGAATGGAAAAAGTCAGTCCACGATATGCATCATCTTCCTTTGTGACCCCAGGCAAAATATCAAACTCTTTGCATTAATATTTAATTATCACACTATCTTGTGAGGGAAAACTAGGGAGATACAATTGTGAAGGACAGCCTACAAATCTAAAAGGTAGAGGTATATATTTATTAAAAAAATACATTGTGAGGCAATGTATGAAAACTCATATGAATATTTCAGCAGTTAGAAACAGATAGAACTTCTGATCAGGGTAATAAGAGACTGCATCACTGAGACTATCATGTCTGAGTTAAGCTTCAAAAGATGGCTGCACTTCTGACAATCAGAAATATACCAAAGGGTATTAGAGATGAAGGGAAGAGTTTGAACAGATGTATAGAATGAGAAAGCAAGATGATGGAGGAAGAGCAAACTGGTTGGCATGAGTGTGGCCCAACCAGTATAGCAGGGCCAGGATACTGGTAGAAGGGCAGGTTAGACAGTACCTTTCATCTCTGGCCAATGGAATGAGCTAGTATTTCTCACTCTGAGCTCAAATAAGATTTTCAAATTGTGGTTTCACAAATATACATTTGACTACAACATAGGTAATGAATTAAAAGTCTGTACCTGGACCAGACAAAAGCCTACTATATTAAACTAGGGAATAAAAAGATATAAAAATTTTGGTTAAAAAAAAAGAAAGGTCAAAAGCAGTGCTTCTCCATATAAGTGGATTAGGAGGAAGCTAACAGAGGACCATGAGGAAGAAGGGAAAAAATAGTTGGGGAGAGGGAGGGAGGCAAACCATGAGAGATTCTTGAATGCTGAGAACAAACTGAGGGCTGATGGGGGTGGGGGAGAGCAGAAGGGGAGTGATGGGCACGGAGTAAGGCACTTGTTGGGATGAGCACTGGGTGTTATATGGGAACCAACTTGACAATAAACTACTTAAGAAAAAAAAAAAAAGCAGTGCTTCTCAAACTAACTAGGAAAAGGCCAATACTTTAAGTTCTAAATGGTCATGGAACAATAGTTTTGTAATATGCAATCAAAATTAATGATTAGGAAAATAAAATAGAAAACATAAACTCCAAATTTTTATTAGGAGAGTCAGCAGAGATAAAATTACTTCTAAAAATTGCTATAAAATTTCTAAATGCTTACTCTGAATTTCTGCAGTTCTTATCACGGCCTAGGACATTTGTAGGCTAGCTCTGGTCTGTAACCCTCACGCTGAGCAGCACTGCTTTATTGGGCTTTGTCAGTGACTCGATGCCAGGAAAGTCAACAGTGACTCTGAGCCTGCTCTTCTTAGATGGCTGTGAGAATCGTGATACCCATCAAGTAAGAAAGCTTGGTGAGTTCAAAAGGGGTCATTATATGGAATTTTGGCAGGAGTCCAGTGCAATAATGAGAAAATCCTATGAGAGTTCCAAGACATTTTATATATAGAATTTTTCATCACTTTTACTATTTTGTGGCTGAAAAATAAATAAGGGAAGAACAGGTACTGCTAATTTGGAGGAAGACTTACTCTTACAGAAAACAATGTCAGAGGCTAAAACAAACTATTTGTCATTTTTAAATGTGTGAATGTACAATGTCATTTGCAACCAAATATAATAAAGAAACACAATCTCTGGCACACCATACTGAAGTAAATTATTTTTTTTGACAGACACATGCACATGTAACTCCATTCTTTTTGAAAAACATCCTTGGTGGTGAGTTCATAGTGATTTAATTGTCCTTATGTTCCTTAAATCTGTGACATAAATCTTGGGTCACCAGCTGGAGACAAAGAACTCCTCTGTTTAGCTTGACATTAGAGATTGATGATGCTTGACTAGACAAGTAGAAACCCATCTTTTTAGTAATGGGGAAAGAACAGAGCTCCCAAGGGATTTAAGAAATTGAAATCTGAGGCTTGACAGATTTTTAAATTCAAGGCAAGTAAAGTGACAATATTGTTAAATATGAAGTGATTAAGAAAGAAAAAGGCTAGGACAAAAGAATCAGAAGATGCTTGCAATTTACCTGCAAAATAAATGGTAGGTATAACTGTTGATAATGCAATATACTTATTAATAATGATAGACTAGCTAAGTCATTTGATGTCCTAAGTTATCTTCTAAAAGAATAGTAAAAGCAATGATACAAACTTTAGAAAAGACCCTTAATAACTAATGTAAAGTTACATATGATAACATCCTTATCAAGCAGATTTTCTTTTTTTTTTAATTTTTTTTAAATGTTTTATTTATTTCTAGGAGAGAGAAAGAGAGCATGAGCAGGGGAGGTCAGAGAGAGAGGGTGTCACAGACTCTGAAACAGGCTCCAGGCTTGAGCTGGCAGTCAGCACAGAGCCCGACGCGGTGCTCGAACCCACGAACCGCGAGATCATGACCTAAGCAAAAGTTGGACGCTTAACTGACTAAGCCACCCAGGCGCCCCCAAGCAGATTTTCTTCATTAATCTCACAGATAATGAAAGTTTATGAGCCTAGGTAAAGAGTCCTTTATTAGACAGTGGAAAGTAAAAGGTTTTAAGTAGAATAATTCTTACCAATTTTTAAGAAAAGCAAATAAATGGGGCGCCTGGGTGGCTTAGTCGGTTAAGCGTCCGACTTTCGCTTAGGTCATGATCTCGCGGTTCGTGGGTTCGAGCCCTGCGTCGGGCTCTGTGCTGACTGCCAGCTCAGAGCCTGGGGCCTGTTTCAGTCTGTGACTCCCTCTCTCTCTGACCCTCCCCTGTTCACGCTGTCTCTCTCTCTCTCTCCTAGAAATAAATAAAAAATAAATAAATAAATAAAAAGCAAATAAATTAAAATTCAAAATACCTGCTTTGACTTACCCAAATGGATCACCAACCACAAGGAATGCAACATCACAGATATCAGCATCTTTTAAGATATTATCTGCTTCTTGTTCCACTTCTTCTCTATCAGCAAGAATCAATTTTCTTCCATAAAACTCTTCCTACAGATTTAAGTCCAATATCAAAATGAGACAGCAGGTGACCATTTACACACACACACACATACACACACACACACACACACACACACACACATATCTTTGGGGCTGGTGCAAATTCTGGCAACTATCCAGACACAGATCATTGAATAGGACTCATTGGTGAGCTAGCACTCTACCACATGCTGCAATTAAACTCTTTGGGGCTATGTTAATATCCCAAGAGGAGGTAGACCTCCTAACATCTGAGACTTTCTGCATTTTAAATTTATCTCTAAATCTGAGTCTAAGAGACCAGGCAGAAGCTGTAGAATGAACAGCAAACTCATGTTTGCATGAGTCTTATTACACAAATATACTAATAAAGAATGAATATATTAAATATTACAAACATACATGGTAATTTGGGTTTTATTAAATTTTCCATAGGAAAACCTATAGGACACTGGCTAAAATAAAAGGTAACTTCAATGATAAATAAAAAGAAATTAAGATTTAGTCAATTACAGAACCAGCAAACATTCCTATATAATTGCAGGAAAGACTGACTGAAAACTGTATTTCCAGGGCGCCTGGGTTAATCAGTTGAATGTTAGACTCTTGGTTTTGGCTCGAGTCATGATCCTAGAATCACGGGATCAAGACCCACACAGGCTCTGCGCTGACCAGGAAGCCTGGTTAAGATTTTCTCTCTCTCCCTCTGTGCCTCTTCCCCACTCATTCTCTCTAAAATGAAAAATAATAATAATAAAACTACATTTCTTACTTCCTGCTAAAAACGCAGAGTTGCAGGGGAAACAAAATAATTCTAAGTATATATGAAGCCTCCACACAAACTGCTTTGTGAACCAATTCCCTTAAGTTCAACTCTAAAGAATAAACCCAGGAGGCTGACCTTACTGGGTGGCAGCCTGCATGTACAGAGAGAGAACTGGTGTGCCAGTGGTCATGTGGCAGTGGTTACAAACTATTATGCAAAGTCGTGAATCTTATTAACTGATTTCCTGTGAAGTAATATGTAATTCAAATATAGCAAAAGTGGATGCATAGACAAATGCTGTTTCGTACATGCTGAGAAGTTTGAGCTACAAGGACTGTCACAGAAGTTAAACATCACAAGGACTGCTGTAATAGAAGCGTTACCTGGGACTCAACAGCATTTGTCAAGCAAAAGAGTAAATGAACAAATGATTAAGCATTTGAAGATAAAGGCTGTAGTTCCAACTCTGATAATTATTTCCTAATACTTAACTAGAATCTGTTCTTGAAATGTGAAAAAAGAACATCTCTTCACAAGAGATGTTCGAGAATTTCCCAATGACAATGATGTTTTTACAGATAAAAACTGTTCTCTTTATTTTCATTTTCACTTTTATCATGTATGTTTTCTTAATCATTCATTTGTATACACCTTACTTTAATTTCATGTGCCCAGAAAACTTATCAGCGGTAGAACATTTATATTCACATATATCTAAGACATACTGTGATTACTGAAAACCGAAGGAAACGATTTTTTTCCTGAACTTCTAACATTTTTAAATTAATGTTTAAAATAACTAAAAAAATTAAAAAATCACATGCAACTAGCTTAACACTAGCAGTAATCCTAAATCCGATCCAGTATTTTATGACTAACCAACAGAAAACCCCACTCTCTTCAAGACTTCCATCATGTATCCCTCCATATTTTCACTTCCTAAGAAACACTTCCCTAATTTAAACACAATGTTTATTTAAAAAAAAAAAGTATCCACACATGCATACCTGTGTACATATACCCTCAAACACTCCAGTATAACCAAACAGCTGATGCTCTTTTTAAAAAATATAAAAAAGGGAAGAGATAGAAAAAGTAGTAAGAAACTGATATTATTTTTTTTTACCTACTCAGTTATTTATTCACTCACTCAAAGAATATCTCTCATACACAACCTCCAAGCCAAACTCTATGCTTGATGTTGGCAAACAGTGGTGAATAAGACATATATAGGCCTGTCTCGTCGCTTATAATGTCTAGTAGGGATTATATAGCTCCTAAGTGCTATAGGAGCATGGAATCTATTAAGAGTCATGGAAGGGGCGGTGGTGGAGGGGGAGCAATAATATTTTAACAAATAATTTTAAATTTATATATTATCAAATAACTCATAAGCTAATTTGTATACAATATCAGCCCTCATCTCCTCCATGAAAATGAAGGTAAAACTCAAAAAATTCATTCTTGCTTTAAGTTGGCAGGTTTTGTATAAGGGGGAGAAGGTAAAAGCTCAAAATTAAAATTACTTTTGGGTATTTCTGGAAGGATACATGAGAAATTAGTAATAACTGCCTGTACGAAGGGGAACAGGTATAGAAATCTTTCAATGTATATACCACTTAGTATCTTTTATTTTTTTAAATATTTTTATTTATTTCTAGGAGAGAGAGAGAGAGAGAGAGCGTGAGCAGAGGAGGGTCAGAGACAGAGGGAGACACAGACTCTGAAACAGGCTCCAGGCTCTGAGCTGGCAGTCAGCACAGAGCCCGACGCGGGGCTCGAACCCACGAACCGCGAGATCATGACCTAAGTGAAAGTCGGACGCTTAACGGACTAAGCCACCCAGGTGCCCCTATCTTTTATTTTTTTATGTTTTTTTTTAATGTTTTTATTTATTTCTGAGAGAGAGACACACACACACACAGTGTGAGCAGGGGAGGGTCAGAGAGAAAGGGAGACACAGAATCTGAAATAGGCTCCAGGCTCTGAGCTGGCTGTCAGCACAGAGCCCCGTGCGGGGCTCGAACCTACGAACTGTGAGATCATGACCTGAGCCGAAGTTGGGCGTTTAACCAACTGAGCCACCCAGGCGCCCACACTTAGTATCTTTTAAATTCTTTTTTAATTTTTTATTTATTTGAGAGAGACAGAGACAGAGAAAGAGACAGAGAGAGAGAGAATATCCTAAGCAGGCTCCATGCTTTCAGCACGGAGCCCTACATGGGGCTCGATCATACAAATCATGAGATCATGAGCTGAGCCCAAATCAAGAGCTGGACACTTAACTGACTGAGTCACCCAGGTGTCCCTAGTATCTTTTGAATTTTATGCCATATAATGTATTACCTAGTCAAAAAAATAGAAAAGTAGGGCCAGAAGTAGGATACAAAAACAAACAAGAAGACAAAATCTTAAAGCACGCGTGCACACACACACACACACACCATATCATTTAAAGAAAGAAAATACAAATAGGGCTTACAAAAGGGACTGAAAAAAATGGAAAAGTACAAATAAAACCACAAGAAAGTCATGTCTTAAAAGCCAGTTCAAGGAGTGAGCAAGTACGTCAAAAGAAGTAAAACAGTTAAGAATTGAAAACTATCTTCTGGCATTCTCAGCTATCAAATAGTTATTCAACAAACAGATATATCTCAGAGGAATGGTAGTTAGCTCCAGGAGTAGGAGATATGAGTGAAGTAGGGACAATAAAGGTATGCTACTTTTTCAAAAACTTTGGATAAAGAAGAGATAGGATTATAACTATGGAGAAAAGATGTTTAAAAGGGGAGGGTTTTGGGGCATCTGGGTGGCTCAGTCGGTTGAGTGTATGACTTTGACTCAGGTCATGATCTCACGGTTCATGAGTTCAAGTCCCACATCAGGCTGTGCTGACAGCTTGGAGCCTGGAGCCTGTTTCAGATACTGTGTCTCCCTCTCTCTGCCCCTCCCCGACTTGCACTCTTTCTCTCTCTCAAAAATGAGCATTAAAAAAAAAAAAAAATTAAAGGGGAGAGTTTTCAGAAGGGACAATACCTGAATATGGTTTCAGGTTCAGGGGAGAAGCATATTAAGATAGACCAAACATAAAGAAGAAAGAATGACTGATGGGAGTAAAGTTTCAGGGGAAGGAAGAGGAAGAAGTCTGAAAAACAACAACAACAACAACAACAACATATGTACTTAGTCTTGAATGGGAAGAGAACTTTTCTTTCTTTCTTTCCTTTCTTTCCTTTCCTTCCTTCCCTTCCTTCCTTCCTTTCCTTCCTTCCTTTGTTTTTTTTGAGAGAGATGCAAGCAGAGGGGCAGAGAGAGAGGGAGAGAGAGAATCCCAAGCAGGCTCCATGCTGACAGCACAGAGCCTGATGCAGGGCTCAATCCCAAACTGTGAGATCATGACCCAAGCCAAAACGAAGAGCTGGACATTACTGACTGAGCCACTCAGACACCCCTAACAAGTCATTTTCAAAGACTGGAGGAAAGACAGGTTCAGATTTAGGGCAAGGACAGAGGGGAAATTAATGAAGGTCATAGCTGGTTGCCTCATCTTTCTCAGTGGGAAGTCCTTTACTGTCTTCTCATCTGTCCCTCCAATATCATTCCACAGCCATCAGATAGGAAGACAGGACGTGAAGTGTGCTGGTACCCAGTTGAAGTAGATTAGGAAGAAAGGAGACAGAACACATATACCAGAAAAATACGAGTTATTTGAGTGATGCCCAAGAACAAGTATAGCAAATTATTATGCTTGTCTCCTTCATGCCTATGCTCCCAATTATTTTTTTCTTCAGTAAAGAATGCTATGCTCTTTCTCTTCCCTTTACCAAATCTTATCTATAATAACTGTCTCCTTCTCTTCCCTTTGCCAAGTCTTATCTATAATAACAGTATTTATAGTACATTTACATTAGGATCATTCTGGGGTCAGACATAGTTCTAAGAACTTATGCATATGAATTCATTCAATCTTCATTACAATCTAGGAGATAGTCCCTATTTTTAACCTTGTTTTAGAGATAAGAAAAAGACTACAGAAAAGGGATTGTCCAAAGTCACAGAACCCGGGATGATGACAAAACATCACATGTATTACAAATAAGTCATAGACAGGCAGAGCTTAGTGATCTCTTCTGCTTTTTGCAGGGTAGCTAGAGTCCCAAAGTTAGCCCCCTCTGGCCTTAACTGCTTTCTCTATTTACCCTGCAGAGCTGTGCAAATATTGCCATTTTCATTCTACATCATGAAAACAAAAAGATTAGGATGCATTATTTTTAGACACAGCTTAAATTCCAACTATTCTGTAGTATTCCTTGACCACCATGGACTGAAGTGATTTTTCTTTTTTATGTTTGTTTATTTTTGAGAGAGTGTGAGCAGGGGAGGGACAGAGAGAGAGGAAGCCAAAGGACCCAAAGCAGGCTCTGCTCTGACAGGAGAGAGTCTGATGTGGAGCTCAAATTCACAAACCAGGAGACCTGAGCTGAAGTCGGACACTTAACCAAACTGAGCCACCCAGGTGCCCCATGAAGTTATCTTCTTTCTAATACGGATTTCAATTAGAATAAATAACTAGCAATTATTTACTACTTGAGGCAGCTTCTCCTAATTCATGAAAACAAGCACTGGCTTAAGTAAGATCACCTAAGTTCTTCCCAGCGATGTAATTTTATAGTTTCTTCCTTCACTGTGGTCATGAATTGTTACTTAAATCTTCCATTATTATTTAAGTTTTCCTGGGTATAACACAAATAAATCATGAACCACTAGACAACAAAGATCATACTTTTTACTTCTTTGTATAAGACACTATAGGTGTATTACACCAAATTGGCATAGAACATCATAATTTATTCACAGGAAGTGCCTAAAGAAATTTGAAGTGTTTATACCAAAACTAAAACTCTTTCCTGGATTCACTGTCTCTAATTAACTTTTGAATAATACAGAACATATAAACAATACTAGCTTTTTGGCAATTTGAAAACAATAGCTTTCAATGTAAGAACAGATAAGTTTCAAATTTCTTTAGTAAAATCTACGTATGCCTTTTTACTTTGTGTAATTACTGATTTAAAAAAAAGCACATGTTCACTGCAGAAAATTGATTTTTCCAATCTTTTTTTCCCCATTGTGTAATAATTATCCAGTAACTGAGACTGGGTTGTATATGCAGGTGTGAGCACATGTCAAAAATTTTTAAAAATCAATTTGTTTAAAGAAAAGGTAGAAATGAAACAAAAAGGAAGTCACTGAAGAGAAAGTGGCTCTGATATTTCACTGGGCAATATAAGGCATGAATTTATTTTTATACCTTAAGTTATTCTAGAAAAGAGTCACTAAAGGTGGTTGATGTCGCACAGAAAGTTGCTCAGGGAAAAACATGAACTAAGGACTTGGAGAAGGTCATGAAGAACCGACCAATGAAATTTCTAATACGAAGATTCAAAACTGACCATTTTGCTCGAACTCTACCTTTCTCTGAATTCTTACTATTCTGTGAAGCTAGGATCTATTCCTGAATATACAGAGACACTGTATGGTATGAAGGTGAAGAGTGGTGGTTCTCAACTCAGGACTGCCTTGGCTCCTATTCTGGCTATATCGCTCATTGTCTGTATGACCTTGGACAGGTTTCTTTGTGCCTGTAAATTGTGAACAGTTAAGTGTAGAGTAATAATCCTGTTCCACCTGTAAAGCACTTAGAAAAGCACATAGTAAGTACTCTATAAATATTAGCACTTACTATTGTAGAAGAATGGATATTCTAGCATCTTAATAAAGTACACATAATTCACCTGTAGGTGAGGTTGGGCCCAGCCCCAATTCTACATTTTTGGGAAAAGAATACTTGAAAAAATTACAGCAAACAACATTACCATTTAGTTAGCACTTAAAATGTACAAAACACTTTCAAATAGATATTTTTATGTTGTTTTTTAATGTTTATTTATTTATTTTGAGAGAGAAAGAGCTCAAGCAGAGAGAAACAGATAAAGGAGAGAGAATCCTAAGCAGGCTCTGTACTGACCGTGCACAGACACTGAGACAGAGTCCTGATGCGGGGCTCGATCTCACAAACCGTGAGATCATAATCTGAGCGGAAATCAAGAGTCAGACGCTTCACCAACTGGGCCACCCTCAAATACATCATCTTAATAAAGCCTCCAATTGGTTATTATCTTTATTTTCACAAATGAAGTAACTGAGGTTTAGAGAAATCTAGAAATGTGTGCATCAACTACCACTTCTGAACACTTTTGTGATAGGCACTAGGTTAAGAACCTATGAGGTGGGCATTTTAATCCCCATTTCACAAAGTAAAAAACTAAAGTTAAAGGACTTGTCCCAGGTTATAAGGTAACAAGTAACAGAGAAGATTTAAAGTCAGGTCCAAACTTTCCTCTAAGCCAAATCCTGACAGCTTATCCTAAAAAATGTTGATATGTTTGTTATCTGTCTCTACTTTCTTAGATGAATTTAAGCCCATTCTAGCTTTCCTTAATCACTGATAAGAGTGAATATTTATTATCTTGAGCTTAGACACTTTGGTTCCATTCTAACAAATCAGAGTCAACAAATCAAAGCTGGTCATTACACGCAACTTTCGTATCAATACCAATTCAAATAGCAGTCCTTAATTCCTTAAGATTTTAAAGCAAGAGACCAGAATTCTCAGCTGTGAATCTGAGAGGGCATTAGACCTGAAATTCTCTAGGTTATTTTTTTGTTTAGAAGCCTTGAGCGACCAGACAATTCTAAAATCCTCTCCCTCCTCCTAGAACATGACCAACACTCCATTGGTCTTAATTTACATTCCACTTGGAGTTTGACAATGAACATGAACTACTTAACCCCTCCTCCAAAATGTACTGAGCCCTTAACAAGAGCCAGCTAAATGCATGATAAATGAACAAATCCTAAGGTTATTAAGTCCCAGGCTTATTCAATATACACAAGAGTATGTGTCTAAGCCTTACAGGGAGTCTTTTTAAAAGGTAAGACGTCTCTGGATAGAATACAGACAGAAAGGCGATTACCATTCCCTATGGAAATACTTCAAAGGGAGAAGCTTTCAGCTTGGTTTCTGAATATATAACCAACTCATTAACGCTATGCCTGTACCTCATTAGCACTCAACTCAGAAAAAAATTGACTATCTCATGAAATAAGGGATTTTGATAACTATCCCCAGGAGTGTAAAGTAACTTTCCTTTCCTATTTACTGGAGAAAGCCACCAAATTAGACTTGTAAAGTAAGACAAAGCACCCTTTCATTTTCCAAGTCACTTGGTTGTTGTATTATTTCCATTCTTGTATTCTTTAGATCCTTAATGAGCGGGGGATGTGTTTTAAAAGGTTTCAACAAGCAGACTGAAAATTACGCCCAGCTTAGTGTAATGAAAATCGGCTGTTAGCTTTCTTCCCCGGGACTGGAACCTTAAGCACCTACCAGGACTTCCTTCCCTACGGTCAGGATGGAGGTATAGGCTTCCAGATACACTCGACTGCAGCGTCTAACAACTTCCAGGCCCTTGACTGTAATGTCCTTGGCATCGCCCAGGCCCAGGCCGATCAGGTAAAGCATTTCAAAGTCCAGGGGGAAGGGAGGCTGCAGGACGAAGTGAACAAGAAAAACAAGTGTCAGCTACACCGAGGATACCTAAAATCTAGTGATGAACATGAAAATGAAAACCAAAATAGTACGAGGAGAGAAGGCAAGTCACGAGCGGGGTCTTGAGAACCTTACTCTACTCTTCTTAAAGAAGGATTGGAATGAGTGTTTTTAAACAACCCTGCCCCGCTCTTTCTCGTTACACTAACCTGGGAGCACACAATTGCCCTTGAGAGAATTGCAGCTGGGTCCCCAAATTGCTAAAAGCAGCCTTTCCGAAAAGATAGGTACCTAAAGCGACGATTCGCACACAGCTAACATGCACGCCGCTGGCCTCACCTACGGTGCCGCAAAACGCCAGCGCTTTTACTGCACTTTACGACTAGCTGGAGGGGCGGGCAAGCCGGCGTCTGCGGGTGGGGTGGGAGAGATCTGCTGGCTAGACCAGAAGTGAGCCTCCGGCTGCTGGGGTGGGGAAGCGAAAGGTCAGTCGGTCGGGGCAGTCTGTCCAGAGCTCCCAGCATGGCCTCTGGGAAAGGACGAGGAGCACCCGCGATCCCCCTAGCCAGTGGCTTTACACATCCCCAACCTAGGACAGGGTAAGTGCAGGAGCTCTACGCCTGGGAGGAGCTGGACTCGAGATTGGGGTGCGCCGCCCCGCGCCTCACGCCTTTCCCCCTTAAGTCACGCGAGGGGTGACGGGTGGGAGGGACTTCCCTAATTAGCTCGGGATTGCCCTAGTGCAGAGATTTCCATCCTCGCCTTTGCATTCCGCTGTAGTTTAACCAGCTGCCTCCCCGATGAGGTGTCAGTGTGCCAAACCTGGCCATCACACGGATTCTGATATTCTAGCGTGCGGTGATTCCTAGGGTTTGTCCCCGACCCCAAGACCTCATTCCGGAGTGCCCCAAGGGGCGTGACTGGGCTATGCCTCTGCCATCCTCAGTGTCGGGAAGCCCAGAATCCCCCTCACCACCCCCACCCCGTGCCTATCGAAATGACCTTTAAGAGTGCTCAGGAATTTGATACTTATTGCTTCCACAGGGGGAATTCCTATAAAGTGGTTAGTTAGATGTAGTTCCGATATCGAAATGGTTTGTTTTGACTGTAAATGCTCTTCGTAAGGTCACTAGTGACCTCATCCAAGTTAAGACAGTTTCCATTGTTTATCTTAGGAGGCAGTGTTGATTATTCAGAATTTTCCTGCTGCTTCTCAGACAATGCATTGTGTCTTTTTTGCCCAATACCTATTACTTAACCCTTAATTTTATGTTTTTTTTTTCCATAGGCTCTATCCACCCTTTGCACTTCTCATCCAATACACCCTTCATGACTGATTCTATCCAGTCTCATTACATCCATCCATTCTTCATACCATAAACAAAAATTAATTAAAATGGATCAGAGCTGTAAATACAAACTATAAAACTTCCTAGAGAGAAGATAGAAGAAAATATTTGTGATCTTATTTAGGCAAAGACTCCTCAAGTACAACACCAGAAGCACGATGTAGGAAAGAAAAATTGAGAAATTGAAGTTCAGAGAGATAAAACGTATGCTCTTCAAAAGACAATGTTGAAGCCACACACTTGGAGAAAATATTTGCAAAACATGTATCTGATAAAGGACTTGTATCAGGAATACATAAATAACTCTCAAAAGGCAAAAATAAGAAAACAACTTAATTTTTTAAGTAGGCAAAGAATTTGAAAAAGAATCTCCCAGGGAATAAGGTAAACAAATCCCCAAAAAAGATACACTAACATCAAATAAGCTTTGAATAGTTGCTAAACATCATTAGACATTAGGAAAATAAAATTAAAACCACAGTGAGAAGCTAGTATGTTCCTATTAGAATAACTGAAGTTGGAGCCCCTGGGTGGCTCAGTTGGTTAAGCATCTGACTTTGACTCAGATCATGATCTCATAGTTCTTGAGTTTGAGCCTTGCATCTGGCTTGCTGCTGTCAGCTCAGAGCCCACTTGAGATCCTCTGCCCTCCTCACCTCTGGGCCCCTCCCCTGCTTAAGCTTTCTCTCTGTCAAAAATAAAAACAGTAGTAATAGTAATAAAAGAATGGATAAAATTAAAAGCAAAAACAAAACCCTGAATATTCACTCTCATAATTTTGGGTATCCCTAGTTTTTGCTGACTCAAGTTTTAACCTCCATTTAGACCTCCCCTTCAGCCTCCTATATTTAACTTTTTGCTGGAAATCACCTAGATAACCCAGTGACATATCACATTCAACACATCCAAAGCTGAACCCATTATCTTCCCTTTCAACTTGGCTTTTCCATCTGTATTATCTACTTTGGATGGAAGGTATTATCATCTACAGACTTCCACAAGTCAGACATGTGGAAGTTACCCCCCATTCAGTCTAACATATCTGCCTCTCTTGGTAAAATCCTTTCCTATTATCATAGTCTTTCTTTAAGTTCTCATGTCACTCCTTGCAGCTGGTTACCATGTCTCCCGTACATTTCATACTTCTTCCAGGGGCCAGAGAGATCTAGGTAGTATACATTCTGAAAATGTCATTCCCTTCTAAAAATCCTTTAAGGGCCAAGAAAAAGTCCAGGCCCTTTAAAATGTCCCACAGGATCGTCCCTGGAGTGACCTCTGCCTACCTTTCTCTAGCCTCCTGTCTCTCCACTCCATACCACGAACTTTTACTCTGACACTACTTTTCTGTGCCCACAACATTCTCCCTTTTTGCCTCTATGACTTTAGTCAGGCTGCCACCTCGGCATTGAATATTCTCTGCCATTCTCTCCTATCTAGATCACTGCTAGATCACTATGTAGGTCACTGCTCATTCTTTAAGACTGAGTTTAGGAGTTCTTCCCAGAGATCCCTGAGCTAGGATTGGGTATCTCCTAGTAATTACAGTAATACTGTGTGCATATACTTATCAGTCAACTTCAGTGTTTTATAATTGTCTGCTTGTGTATCTTCCTTAACCAAACCACCAATTTCATAAAGTTAGGGCCTGTATCTCATATTACACAGTTATACCATTGTATCTCATATTACATAATTACACAAGACACACTTAATGCAGTGTCTGGCATGTAGTAGGTATTCATTAAATGATTATTAAATAGACCATTTATGTATACACTAGTAGCTGAGCAATTTCTTTGAGTTATTATGTATTTTTCTATCTCTATGAAATGCAGGGTATGGTATGTTTTAGATGACTACCAAAAAGTCGTTGATGGAATGTCAAACAAAAACAATGCCTCATACATGCCACTTCAGAAAGTTATTTATGTTAAAATGTTTATGACACAGTTCACGTATACTTCATATGTACCCTGTTGAGGACTGGTCATTTTTTTTTTATGTGTTTTTGTTGTCAGATTTGCTTTGAGTAATTCCAGGAAGATTTACAGTGAAAGGGCAGTGTCAAAAGGAATAATTAATCAAATGGAAGGTGTAGCTTATCTCCTTTCAGGAAATCTGTATTGGAAAATGAAGTTATTCTGTGTAGGTAAGGAAATATTCTTTTTAGATATGGAAGCAATTTCAGTTTTTACAGAATTCAAAGGAACTACTTTCCCCATAGATTTCTTAAACCTTTTCACCTGCCTTCATTTCTCAATAAGAGTGTAAATTTAGGGACTTTACTGGAGATAAAGTAAAGGTGTTATGCGAATCTTCTCCCCAACTCAATAAATATAATCAGCAAACTCTTGCTGGTCTTTTTTTGCAGAATTATTCTATGTCATTTGGACATTTCTCTTGTACCATTTAAAACAGTTTCAAGTCTGATTGCATTTCCCCCAATAATTTATTATTAAAATTTTCAAACACTTAGAAGAGTTGAAACAGCAATAGTAAACATCCATATAGTCACCTCTTAGGTTCTATAGTTTTTAACATTGTGCTGTATTTGTTTTATCACAGGTTTATCCGTTCATCCATCCATCAACTCATCTTATTTTTTGGTGCATTTCCAAGGGAGTTGCAGGCATAAGTACACATTTTGATTGATTTTGCATGAAAGATAACCCCCTCATCTAGGAAAACAGATTAACAAAACATACCTCAACATATAGCTGATTAAATGGTATTATATCTTCACCTAATTTAGGCAGAGCTTTGAGAATTTTACTTTAAAACAGTTTCAAACAGTTTTTAATCAGCATGGTAGCATTATTTTGATGATAATGAAAGCAGTTAGTCAGAATACATATTTATAATGTCATCGCAAATTTGAATCTCAGCAAAAAAGGGGAATAGTTATAAAGAACTGTGATTCTAGGGAAAAAGAAAAAGAAAGGATAAAGTGAAAGCCTTTTTAGCTTTAGTTTAAAGAATAACAAAAAATAGGGGCACCTGGGTGGCTCAGTTGGTTAAACATCAGACTTCAGCTCAGGTCATGATTTCTTGGTCTGTGAGTTTGAGCCCAGTGTCAGGCTCTATGCTGACAGCTCAGAGCCTGGGGGCCTGCTTTAGATTCTGTGTCTCCCTATCTCTCTGCCCCCTCCTGCCACTTGTTCTCTCTCTCTCTCTCAAAAATAAACGTTAAAAAAATTAAAAAAAAAATAACAAGAGTAGAAGAGGCCTAAAGAGTTTTCTTCTTTATAGTCCCACTTGCAGGTAGGAAAGTACCAAATCATCCCTCAGAGTGAATATTTATGCTTTTCCTGAAAGATCCTTAAGCTGTTTTCATAACCTTTGTCAGTAACTCATTTTTATACCCACACTGTCAGAAATTCTTCCTTATATCTAATCTGTGACCTTCAGGCAGTAGTCATAAAATGTGAAAGATGTAGATAGTCATAAGAAGTTAATACTGATGGCTTTTCCATTCCATTGTCATAAACACATCATATAGTAGTTATATTTTAAAGTGATAACAGTTGGGACACTGCATTACATTATGAACAAATTGTAATTAACTTACATCTAAAAGAAGTCATCCTTCAATTTTCCTACTTCAGTTCATTGTCTATTGAAAAGAAGACATCAGGGCGACTGGGTAAACTCCATGTGACCTTATTGTGAATAGAGAATATTATTTTACTCTGAAGCTGGCCTTTTAACCTACATGTTCCCAGAGATTGCCTCTTATTGTTAGAGGATATCTTGATTAATATTTGGAGAGTTTAGACACCCCAAATTGATTGATAGCCATTATTTTCTATCAATTCACAAATAAGTGATAATTGAAGATAGCGTTGCTTTAAGAGATATTATGTTTACTAAGATGAAGATAAGATTTAAAGTTACTTTAATGTGCATTGGCTTAAAAAATCACTTTATGCAGTGATTTTATTTACTCCTCTATACATTTTACATGTAAAATGCATAATACTAAAAACAAAA